GGGGGGGCACGCGTTAACTGGAGTGAGTCCGAGAGCCACTCTAATTAAAACACCACTGCGTCTTGCGTATCAGCGTCCCGTGTTTATAAATGGCGGCAGGGTGTTTGAATTAAAGCTCGCTCAACAAGCTGTAGTTCAAGCGCCCCCGCCACCATTGTTAAGTGCAGGGGCGGTGATACACGAGGTGCAGGAGGCTGCTGGAGCACAGCAATCACCACGCTCCAGCAGACTCGATTACCCACGGGCTGGAATTCCAGCGCGTCGGAGCAGCCCTGGCGCTCGCGCACAGGTGCCCTGAGATTTCCAATTCCTCAGGCAGAAGACAGACACTGTCCTAACTTATTACTTATGTAGCAACATTAGAAGTACTTGGTGCTTCACAAGCATACACAGCCCCCATTAGGAACTTTGCTACTGACTATAAAGAGGCCAAGATTTCACCTTAAGCATCTGCCCTGAGGAACCTACCATTCATTCCTATTTGGGGAAAAGCATCAACAGAATCTGGGGATTTTTTTTAAATGCAAAACTGACTGACAAGAAACGGTAGGCAACAGAGATGAAGGACAGTTTAGTGATTAGGGACCTAGTGTGGAATTAGGAGGTTTCAGTGCCATTCCCGCCTCTGCCTCAGACTTTCTTTGTGATTCAGAGAGGCCTGTATACCTCAGATCCCATCTGTAAGTAATACTTCCCTATTAGGATAAAAGGACAGATATTGAGAGGTTAAGTTAAATATTGCCATGTGGTTAGATGATACAGGGAAAGAAGCCATAAGATAATTACATAAATAGAGTACTGGTCAGGAAATATCAATTCCAACAAACAGTAACTAGCTTGTCCTATGTTCTGCCTCCTAAGAACTAGAAGACTTACAAAACATCATTTATCAGTGGATTGAGAGAGAAACATGAATCTTTTCAAGTAAAAGTTGATATGCTACTGAGATAAGCATCTCAAATGCTCTAGAAGAGTGAGCGCCTGTTAATATCTCTGGACAAATGCTGGAATTTAAATCACAAAGGAAGCTGTAGCTTGTCTACAAGTTAGAGAAACCATGCACGGTTCTCTATCTCCAGAAGGGTATTAAAAATGAAAAGCTAAGCATTCTCTCGATGCCCTCTAACCAGTGACAGTATTGACAAGCATGCTGAAGAAAATCCTATGCTCATATATTATGGAGCCAACAAACAATATGTGATGAGGAAATAAAGACTGCAGATATACATCTGTTCCTGAACTGCATCATTTCTTCATATATGACATTTCTAGCCTAAAGGCAGTTTAATAAACAGCAGTGTCAACTGACTGAAAGAATCTTTACTTCAAAAAGGTATTATTTCTGTCCTTGGAGAGCCTGTTCCATTCTGAAGGTTTGGATTTCATTTCTTCTGTTAGAATGTGTATACATTAGGAGAGACATTGGTTTAAAGCTAATCTTTTTTCAGTTTTGCAGAGGGAAGTTGAAATTCAAGATAATTTTTTAGAGGAGATAGATTTTCAGCAGATTAAGTTAACAAAACCAGCAGATTTTGTTTGCCTGGGGGGGAGAAGAGACTTTAACTGAGTATGAATGTTATACCTGGGTGTACAAAACCATCCCAAAGTCTACCAAATCTGACAGGGGTTAACTAAAGTATACTAGAACATGGTTTGGTTGATTTCTCCTGTCATTAATGAAATTCTACAACCTAACAAAATGGCAAGCAGTCCAATTTGGTAAAACCAGCATATTATTCAGTCAAAATGTCTCTGTATAGTGAACCACTGTATACTAGTTCTGGATTTCATTCATTGTCTTTTAGAGCTCACTGCTTCATGAAATAAAAATCTGTCCAGTGGATACATCTGGCAGATTAACAAACAGTACCAGTAGGTCCTATGGGAATCCCACTCAGTCTCTTTTGGCTGCAAAAATGGCGAGTGCAAACTGGGAAATTTTCAAGACCAGAACAGGAGCCACTAAATACCAAACAGACAGTGACAAAATATTTTATTTAAAAAAACCCAACCGCTTTAAATAAAGAACAAGGATATTTTTCTTATCCGATTTTATTTTTAGCAACCAATCTGGTTGGGGGAGAGTAATGAGAATTAGAGAAATTCACTTTGAAAAAGCAGAACGTATTGCCCACCTAGGTGTTATGGCATCTACTGCTCTGTGGTGCATTCAGAATAGCTGGCAAATACAGAAATGCTAAATTTAACCCGAAATCATTATTTCTCTTCATTGTTCATCTGGAGTGATGCATGATAGGAATGAAGATGAATCTCCTTCAAGAACTTCCCCTTCTCTACAGGGTCCAACCTCATAAAATGGAGACATGTCCAGATCCCGAGTACATTTTCGCTTGTATCACGTTTTCAGTTTTAGAAAACATCACAGAGAAACTCCATATTTCTGTACACTATTTAACTGCAAAGATAGGAAATGAATCCATTTTTTCCTGTAACTCTGCTTGTCACCCAAGGTTATTCTCAGCCCTTAGCAACCATTTTATTCTTATGGATCACTGGCCTCTTCCGCACTGCTTGGTATATCGGGTAATTGCCTTTCAAATGAATTAAAAAACAACCAACCTATGACTACTAATCAGTAATGCTGTATCCATATGAAAACACTTCAGAACAAAGATTTCTATCCCAGGAGGAGAATCTAGCAAATCTCCTACCTTCCATTTCTAGGGTTACATAACCTCTATGCAAGCTCTCCTTTTACACTGTATTAAAGACTGAAATAAAAGCAAGGTAAAGTCATCCATAAGATTAGAGAAAGGCAGGAAAACATTACCTAAGACCAAAAGCAAAATGCAAAAATAGCACCATCTTTTTCAGCCTTTTGGTTTTAACAATACAAAATAAAAAAAGGAAAAACACATTAAAGGTACACACAACTTGTAAAGCACCATGCATCGCTGTCTGAGATTCTTCTATATTTAACATATTTGAAAGAAACATGGAACATTAAAACCTAAAGTGGAGATGCATTAGATTTAGCAGGGTTCAAACCAGCAACGATGTTCAAAGGGCTAAGAGAAAATAATGCTAAAGAAATCATTCAGACCTTACTTATCCAAATAATGGTAATGAAAAAACCAGCCCCACCCTTAAATAGCCCATTACTGTGCAATACGTAGGACATATTGAAACTTCATTATGATCACCCTGCCCTTCTCTCTCTGGGTGAGTCTCTCAATCTTACCTGGCAGCCTGCTTGAAGATCCACTCAGCCCCTCTGCAGAAGAATTATTTTAATTAATAAGGACTGTGTTGCCTAAGCCTGGACTGAAAACCCAGATTTTCCACCTTTGGTTTCCTGCTAGTCTAAGGCTGCATTCACGTCCCCCTGCTACTTGTTTTTAAAGCCCGGCTATGTCTCCCTCGCTCTCAAGAGAAGCTTCTGCACCGTGGCGCAGCACGTAGATGGTCTTAAAGCGATAGCTGCAACGGGAAACCTAAAGCAATGCCTCTCTGCTGACACATCTTTTAGCTTACAAATTTCATCTGGTCACAGTTAATATTTCTTCCAGATTTTGTGCAGATATAAAGCTTACTCTCCTTTCAAAAAGCAGGCAGCTACAAAAGATTCAGTCACATATAAAGCAGTTTCCAGCACTGAATTTCAAGTGAGTTGCAAGAGGAATGCGGGCTCTTTTCCATATTAAATGTTTCCGTGCTTTCTTGACTCCCAGGGAACAGCAGCTAATAGGCGGCACCTCCCACATTTTCTGGGGAAGGAAGTTAACCCTGCATTCCCTTTAGAAAGCCTACGCAGGCTAAAATCAAAACAGATTGCCATCTGCTAAAAGCACAAATAAATGGGTAAACTCACCTAAAACACATCAGACTTCAAAGAGTATAGGAGGGATTTAGAAAAATCCAGGGATCTTTGTACAAGAGAAATGAAAATGCAGTCTGAACTCCCCAGAAGCACCAAACAGTGAAGCAAATTCCCCTTTCACTTTGACTATAACAAGATACCCATCTCTCCTGAAAAGTCAATGCCACCACAAACGCATCTTATTTAAGAAGCACTTCATGAATCAACTCTCCCTTCAAAATAAATTTAATCTCTTGACAGGTTATTTTTCAGAAGCCAAGGAAAGGAAACCTGATAGGACAAACAACTAGTCTTAAAAAAAATCAAAACACCTACCAAGTGACATGTCACATATGAGGGGCTCGAAAATGAACCAAGCAACACACGCACACACTTTCCACATATTAAAATTATTTCTGTTTATGAGTGTGAACACGCACGCTCTCTCTCTAAACCAAAGAATGTTAAAGTTGAAAGTAAAGCACTTCAAGGTTCAGAAATGCCCAAGCTAGGGCTGCCTATGAAACCTTAATTCGGGCCCCACACATATGCCTGACTGGGTATTTAATTACGTGATGGAACAGTATTTTTTTCCATGGGACCTCTGCGTGATTCATTTTCTCTTTGCAGACTGATATTGTATTACAGACTTACAGCTAACCTCTGTTTACTAAAACAGAGTCAATCAACATCAAAGTCCATATCCAACAGTCATCTGATTGGATTTCTCTGTAAAAGGCTAAGGAGAATCTACCACATTGAAATGCACATACCGACTGACCACCTACTGCTTCCCTCTGCTCACAGCACAACCATGATTGATCACCCAAGGCAACCACATCATTAAATATACTCGGATCATTAATACAGTGTATGCAGATAGGTAAAGACAATAGCTTAATAAAAGCCTAATGAAGTACATTGTGATGATTCCCCCAATTAAATTATGTTGCCTAAAAGGCACTAAGTCATAGTTTTCAAATAAGGAAATTAAAGTTCCAACTTCTGATTCTATAATTAGGCACCCAAATAAAATGCTTTAATTTTCGAAGATGAAAAATCCTGGCAAAAAAATCAATGGGAGCTGCAGGTGTTCAGTATTAAAAAAAAATAAAAAAATCCAGCCACTTTATAGACGTATCCAATTATAACACTACGAGTCTAATTTTAGGTACCCAGATGTGAAAATTTTGTGTTTGATTTGTATCAAGTTATAAAGAGATTTATGACTGAACAGAAATTGTCAGGTGAAAAATTCTAAGAGTCTAAGTTTCTGCGTCCACTTAGGTACTTATATAGCCCTCACAAGTCCTAACCAAGTGCCTCAAATTAAACTATTTAGCCATAAAAGATCCTTGGGATGTCACAAAAAACTACCCCACCATGACCACACTGAAGGTGCATCTCCAAGGTGTATATCTGGGATCTTGGATCCTAGTCCAGTTACCTATCCACTGGGCTTTCATCATTACTTCTGAGCAGCTTCAAGACAAGAACTTCAACTACCCAGACATCTCGTGGGAAGAGCGCTTGGCTAAATCCAAACAGTCGCAAAGCTTCTTCTCCTGTGTGGATGACCTCTATCTGACACAGGAGGTCTACGGGCCAACGAGAGGTAAAGCTCTGCTCAACCTGGTACTGGCAACTGGGGACGACCTAATCAGCGACCTAACGATCGAAGGGAAGCTGGGTGACAGCGACCACGAGCTGATCACCTTCACCATCCACCATAAAGCTGGCAAGTCAGTCAGCAATACAGAAGTCCTTGACTTCAGGAAAACTGACTTTGACAAGCTCAGGAGGCTTGTTGGTGAGGCCCTAAGGCACCACAACCCGAAGGGGAGGGGAGCTCTGGTAGAGTGGTTGCTCCTCAAGGGAGCGATCCTCGATGCACAAGCTAATGTTATTCTGTCTCAGAGGAAAGGCAACAAAAGGGCACAGCAGTCCCCTTGGCTCTCCAGGGAACTTGCGGACCTCCTGCGGCAAAAAAGAAAGGCCTACAAAGGATGGGGGACAGGATCCACCTCCGAGGAGAAATATTCTACACTGGTCTGGTCCTGCAGGGAGCAAACCAGGAAAGCCAAGGCTGCGACATAACTCCAACTAGCTACAAGTATGAGGGACATTAAAAAGTCCTTTTTCAGATATGTGGGGAGCAGAAGAAAAAGCAAGGGCAACATTAGACCCCTGCTAAACCAGATGGGACAACTGACAACCGACGAGCAGGAAAAAGCCAACCTATTAAATGGGTACTTTGCATCAGTCTTTCATCAGTCCCACGGGACGCCCCTGCCCACTATAGGACAGAGGGGCCAGGGTGAGGGAGATTCCCTGCCCTCCATCAATGCTGACCTTGTGAAAGTCCAGCCGCCCCTGACAATCTACACCCCGGGGTACTCAAGGAGCTGGCTAGCATCATAGCCCAGCCCCTGGCACGAGAACTCCTGGTACTCTGGTGAAGTGCCTGAAGACTGGAAGAAGGTCCAAGGCAGGAAAGTGGATCTGGCAAACTACAGGCCCATCAGCCTGACCTCTATCCTAGGGAAGGTCTTAGAAAAGATTATTAAAAAGAGGCCATTCTCAACAGACTGGCCAATGGCAACATCCTGAAGGATAGCCAGCACAGGTTTGTTGCAGGTAGGTCTTGCTTGACCAAATCTCATTTCCTTTTACGACCAGGTGACCTATCACCTGGACAAGGGAGAGGAGATTGATGTCATATATCTTGACTTCAAAAAAGCCTTCGATCTGGTATCCCATGATCACCTCTTGGCAAAACTGGCCAATTGTGGCCTTGGGTCCACCACAATCTGCTGGCTGGGAAATTGACTCTATGGTCGGACCCACAGGGTGGTGGTTGACAAAAGTCAATTGTCATGGTGCCCTGTGACCAGTGGGGTCCCCCAAGGCTCTGTCCTTGGACCCATATTGTTCAACATCTTCATCAATGATGTGGACACTGGAATCAGAAGCGGACTGGCCAAGATTGCTGATGATACCAAACTCTGGGGTAAAACATCCATACCTGAGGACAGGAGGGTGATCCAGGCTGACCTTGACAGGCTCAAGAAATGGTCGGATGAGAACTTGATGGTGTTTATCACTGAAAAATGCAAGGTTCTCCACCTTGGGAGGAAAAACCTGCATCATCCTTATAGGCTCGGCAGTGCTACATTAGCTAGCACTATGGATGAAAGGGACTTGGGGGGTCATGAATGACCACAAGATGAACATGAGCCTTCAACGTGATGCTGCGACCAATAAAGCCACCAAAACACTGGCTTGCATTCACAGATGCTTCTCAAGCAAATCCCAGGACATCATTCTCCCCTTGTACTCGGCCTTGGTGAGGCTGCAGCTGGAGTACTGCGCCCAGTTTTGGGCACCTCAATTCAAGAAGGATGTGGAGAAGCTTGAGAGAGGGCTGAGGAGAGCCACGCGCATGATCAGAGGTCAGGGAAGCAGACCCTACGATGACAGGCTGAGAGCCCTGGGGCTCTTTAGCCTGAAAAAGCGCAGGCTCCGGGGTGATCTGATGGCCACCTATAAGTTTATCAGGGGTGACCACCAAGATCTAGGGGGAGGATCGTTCACCAGAGCGCCCCAAGGGATGACGAGGTCGAATGGTTATAAACTACTGCAAGACCATTTCAGGCTGGACATAAGCAAGAATTTCTTCATTGTCTGAGCCCCCAAGGTCTGGAATAGCCTGCCACCAGAGGTGGTTCATGTCCCTACACTGAACGCCTTCAAGAGAAATTTGGATGCTTATCTTGCTGGGATCCTATGACCCCAGCTGACTTCCTGCCCCTTGGGCAGGGGGCTGGACTCAATGATCTTCCGAGGTCCCTTCCAGCCCTGATGTCTATGAAATCTATGAAACTCTGCATCAACATTGCATGGGCTAGTACAAAGGTAAAGATAATTATTGTAACACAAAAAACAATTTTTTACAACCAAGTTACGATTAACCAAATGTATTAAATGCAAATAAAATGGAGTATTTACATGAAATAAACATAAATATTTTATAAGGCAAATTATTTACTCAATGGTAATATTTTAGCTCGTAGTTTCCATATTGGCTATTCTTGTGTGTGTGCAACCTCACCTCTTTAAGCAAATTTTGTATTTGGTAACTTAGAAGACAGGGTAAAAGGCCTTTGCTTTAACCGGTGTTACCATCACCTTTGAGAAAAATGGCCAAAAGAGCAGTAAATCAGGGGTCAGAAAATCTGTACATTATAGCTACAGACAGCAAAACCTATTCTGTAAACTGCAAATCGATTGATGACCTAGCTAGTATGTTCATGGAAAAGAAGGATGAGAGAAGGAGATATTCTTCCTTCCCCAAACCGGCATTCAAGTGTTAATGATTGTAATTTAAACCACCGCTAGCACATAATGGTATTCCTGGGTTGACCAGAAAATGGCTATACTTTTCATAAGATTTGCAACACTTAGACAAGAGAGATGCCGGCTCCTTTCCAAGATACATTTTCCAAATGTCATCCCTACTTCGTTACATTTACAGCTAAAGCCAATTGACCAGTTATAAGATCTCGCGTGCTGAACAGGTTCATTGCTTCAATGCCCGACATCTCCATGAGAGCCGTAACTGCTGCTAGCATTACGTTTTATTTCTGAAGCCCCAGAGGAAAAACAGGAGGGGGCGGGGACTTAAGTAGCTTAGATTTAAAGTATGGAACCAATGTTTAAACATCCATGTTTAATGTTCATGTTGTTACGTGATCAGTAAAAGGTAACAGACTCTTAAAACTGCTTATTCTTTTGGCACAACTTGAAATGGGGCAAGGCAGCTAATTCTTGATAAGAGGGACTGTGAATCCATTT